ACAAATGAGCAATCCACATCACAACACCTGTCAACCACCCACTTATAAACCGTGCAGATTCGGCTAAAATACATACATGTTCCTATGTTTTATCCTTTGAAGATTTATCCCCTCCGTCACTATAGCTGAATAATTAATTCTTTTACCAAACATCACCTTTCCCCTCTACCCACTCAGCACTCCTTGTTTTCTGAATCCTTTAAGGCAGAGATCTGCTGGTTTGTCTGTCAGTGATCCTGTCTTATATGAACGCATAGAGTAGCAAGGCCGAGGAGAGACGTCCTCCAACCACCCACTTTTCTCTCCCACCCCCTCCCCCCTCCATATCGACGAGCGTTGCTGACATAATTTGCTTTGTTACGGATTTTACGCGCTCGCAGCTCCATTATGTCCTATTATGAGCGCCACAGGATGGATGTCAACAGAGAATTCCAAACGGGGAATTAGGCTTACTGCGCTCACCTCTCTAGCCTCAACAGCACAAAGTCTGCTTCGACTATCAACCGGAAATAGCAGGTCACAAGAGAGTGACAAACATACCAAAGAAGTAGAGGAAAAATGACGATAGGATGAGGTAAGACAAAGCAGCAGTTCGCCCTATGTTGTTCCGGCACAGTATGAGCATGACATTGATAAATCAGCCAATTTACAATTCTACAGTACATAACAGCATGTTAATAATATCCCCCCTTTTTAAAGCTTTAGTAAGAGTTTTACGGCACTAGCAACAAAATACGGTCATATAAGTGCTGAAGATCGGAAGTGTTACAATAGAGTAACACACACAAAAAAGGAGGAGAGATAAGATAAGGATGATGGATGTTTGATAGGAAGGGGGAGCAAACCGCACAAAAGCACCCGCCAACCACCCGCTCTTCCCCCTTTGGAAATGGCTTAAAGACACTTCAGTCAGTAGCACTGCCGGGGGAGGGGGGGGGTTGCTGTCATTATCAAGCCGGAGCAGCTCAGTGCAGAAAGTTACATCGCTTTGGTTTAGTTTTAGTAAGAGTTTTACGGCATTTGAAACACAATAAGGTCATATAGGTGCCGAAGACTTGAGGTGTTAGTAACAAACACAAAAAGGAAGGAGGGGAGGGAGAGACGACAATTTTTTTATAGGAAAGAAAGAGCAAACCACACCAGAGCACCCACCAACCACCCACAGAAAGTTACGTCATGCGTGCTTACGTCCTCGAAGAGGATAGTTCACACGGGGGGTAACATACACACACACA